GCTTGTTATATACGGGATTTATTGTGTTGAAGGACATTCCTTCTATACCTAATTTGTTATTTTTTTATTATGAAAGTATGTTGAAACTGTCAAATTATCTTTCTGCACCTAATGAGATGACCCTATGATTTTTGTCCTCATTTTTTAAGATGCAGATTCATATTTATTGATTTGTGAATGTGCAAGCCTGCTTGCATCTGTGGGATAAATTCTACTTGATTATTGTGCATCATATTTTAATGTCTGCAATTGGGTGTGTCTATGGAATGCTGTATCTATGTTCATCATGAATATTATCCTATAGTTTACTTGTCTTGGGGTGTCTGTTTATAGCCATAGTATTAAGGTAATGCTGGTCTTCTAAAAAGACATAGACAGTACTCTTTTCTACCTGTTGGGAAATTTTGTGGATAACTGGGAGTTCTTTAAATATTTGATCCAAGTGAGCAGTGAAGACATCAAGTCCTGGATTTTTTTTTGATCAGACTATTTTTTTAATTGCTGCTTCTATCCCTTGCTTATTATAGATGTGTTCATATTTTGTTTTTGTTCTTGTTTAACCATCAGTATGTTATATATGTCTAGCATTCTATTCATTTTATTACTGTACCCAATTTTTTGGTATGTACTTGCTTCTTTGAATCCTTTTTATTTTTGTGGCTTTGGTTGTAGTGTCTTATCTTTGATTTCTGATTTTATTTATTTTGCCTCTTTCTTTTTCTCCATGTTTGTATTTGGGAATGTAATTCATTTACATTCAACGTTATTATTGACATATAAGTCCAGGAAGACCTCATTTTATTCCACTTATTTTTATGGTGACCTACTTATGTTTCCTTCCTTCATTGTCACTATGAATCACGTTTTCTTCCATTTCCATCTATCCAAGACCCATTCATATTTCATTGCCAAACTCAACTATTGATGTGACTGAAAAATTTGCAAAGGCACATGCTAGGTAATGGTGGAATTATCAGTTCAAGTTCCAAGTATTTCAAGAATACTTCCCTCTCTACTGGCCACCACACACACACTTACTTGTGAAATCTTCTTGCACACATATCCCTAAGCCTGTGTTTGCATGCTGGGATGATTAGTCCAATTACATCAGATCTCTAAGGAGATAATTTCTTTTAAACTGTACACTGGTTTTATAAAGAAAAAAATTACACTATTTTTAAAGTGAGGTTTGGTGTATGAATAATATTGTTTTCCAAAATATACCACACGATCTACTGAGTGCAAGTACCTGCCACATAGGTTGAAGAATGCATGCTCTGTGATTATAGCCAGAAGTCGACACATGGACTGGTTTTTTTTTTTTTAGTTATGCATGACAACAGGATTTATTTTGACACAATTGTGAATGCATGGAATATAATTTGTTCTAATCAAGTCCCCACTACTTCCCCTTCCCTACTTCCTTCTTCCTACTTCCTTTTCCTTTCTCTCTACTCTTCTGATCTTTCTGTTATTTGGTTATGGTTTTTAAAAAGTTAGTGTCTTGTGGATGTATGCAATGGTGAGATTCATTGTGGTACATTCATATATGTCCATAGGAATGTTAGATCAGATTCATTTCACTGTATTTTCCTATCCCATTCTTTATATTTTTCCTTCATTCCTCTGTCTATTCCATTGGACTTTCTTTAATCCCCCCCATTATTTGAAATAGCTTTCACATATCAGTATGGAGATTCCTCTAAAAACTAGTACTAGAACTACCATATGACCCAGCTATTCCAGTTCTCAGTATATATCCAAAGAATTTAAAATAAGAATGCTCAGCACAGTAGCAGGATATAAAATCAACATCCATAAATAAAAGGCATTTCTGTATATCAGTGAAAAATCCTCTGAGAGGGAAATGAGGAAAACTACCCCATTTACAATAGCCTCAAAGAAAAAATACTTGGGAATCAACTTAACAAAATGGGTGAAAGACCTATACAATGAAAACTACAGAACCCTAAAGAAAGAAATCAAAGAAGACCTTAGAGGATGGAAAGATCTACCTTGCTCTTGGATAGGCAGAATTAATATTATCAAAATGACCATACCACCAAAAGCACTAAACAGATCTAATGCAATTTTTATCAAAATCCCAAAGGCATTCCTCATATAAATAGAAAAAGCAATCATGAAATTCCTATGGAAAAATAAGGGACCCAGAATAGCTAAAGCAATCCTTAGCAGGAAGAGTGAAGCAGGTGGCATCACAATACCAGACCTTAAACCATACTACACAGCAATAGTTACAAAAACAGCATGGTATTGACACCAAAACAGACTGATAGACCAATGGTATGGAATAGAGGACACAGAGATTAACCCCCAAAATTACAATTATCTTATATTAGGAAAAAGGTGCCAAAAACATGCATTGGAGAAAAGATAGGCTCTTCAACAAATGGTGCTGGGAAAACTGGAAATCCATAAGCAACAAAATGAAATTAAACCTCTATCTCTCACCATGAACCAAACTCAACTCAAAGTGGATCAAGGACCTAGGAATTAAACCAGAGACTCTGTGTCTAATAGAAAAAAAAAGTAGGCCCTAATCTTCATCATGTGGGATTAGGCCCCAACTTCCTTAATAAGACTCCTATAATGCAAGAATTAAAACCAAGAATCAATAAATGGAATGGACTCAAACCAAAATGTTTCTTCTCAGCAAAAGAAAGAATCTGTGAGGTGAATAGAGAGTCTACATCTTGGGAACAAATTTTTACCCCTCAGATAGAACACTAATCTCTAAGGTATATAAAGAACTCAAAAAGCTAAACACCAAAAACAAACAAACAAACAAACAAAAAATCCAATCAATCAATGGGCTAAGGACATGAACAGACACTTCTTAGAAGAGGATATTCAATCAATCAACAAATATATGAAAAAATGTTCATCATTTTTAGTAATCAGAGAGATGAAAATCAAAACTACTCTAAGATATCATCTCACTCCAGTCAGAATGTCAGCTATTAAGAATACAAGCAACAATAAGTGTTGGTGAGGATGTGGGGGAAAAGGTACACTCATACATTGCTGGTGGGAGTGCAAATTGGTGCAGCCAATATGGAAAGCAGTATGGAGATTCCTTGGAAAAATTGGAATGGAACCACCATCTGACCCAGCTATCCCTCTCCTTGGTTTATACCCAAAGGACTTAAAAATAGCATACTACAGGGACACAGCCACCTGAATGTTTATAGCAGCACAATTCACAATAGCTAAACTGTGGAACAAACCTAGATGCCCTTCAGTTGATGAATGGATTAAAAAATGTGGCATGTACACAAAATGGAATATTACTCAGCAATAAAAGAGAATAAAATTATGGCATTTGCAGGAAAATTGATGTTGTTGGAGAAGATAATGCTAAGTCAAGTTAGCCAATCCTCAAAAAACAAATGCTGAATGTTTTCTCTGATATAAGGTGACTGACTCATAGTGGGGCAGGGAGGGGGAACATGGGAAGAATATTGGTACTCTAGTTAGGGCAGAGGGGTGGGAGGGGAAGAGAGGAGGCAGGGGGTTAGCAATGATGGTGGAATTTGATGGACATCATTATTCAAAGCACATGTATGAAAACATGAATTGGTGTGAACATTCTTTATGTACAGAGATGACAAATTGTGTTCTATATGTGTAAAAAATAAAATCAAATCAGAATACTTCATTGATGCAACAACCTCAATGTTTATAGCAGCACCAGTCACAATAGTCAAGTTTTGTGCTCCTCAACAGATGAATTGATAAAGAAAATATAATACATATATACAATGGACTACTACTCAGCCATAAATAATAATAATATTGTGGCATTTGCCAGTAAGTGAATGGATCTGGACACTATCATGCTAAGCAAAACAAGCCAGTCCCGAAAAGTCAAAGGTCAAATGTTGCCAACTTCTCAGTGGCTGTCTCACAAGGCTGTTTCCTTTAATCCATGTTCATAGTGGTCATATGCCCCTATCTTATTCTGAAAAACATATTCAAGTTCACAAATGGCATAAGATCTAGATTTGGCAATTCAATAAACTTAGTACGTCTGTAGGATGCCTGTGGTGAGCATGTCTCCAATTTAGTCAACTTGATAATCCAGGTGTTCAGACTCCAAGTGTTGTGTAAGCTATAATCTAGCAATCTCAGGATCTCTGTCCCTACACATGCCATGATTTCAGGTTATGGAACATGTTTCTAAGTCAAATTAGCCAATCCTCAAAAAACAAATGCTGAATGTTTTCTCTGATATAAGGTGACTGACTCATAGTGGGGCAGGGAGGGGAGCATGGGAGGAATAGAGGAACTCTAGATAGGGCAGAGGGGTGGGAGGGGAAGGGAGGAGGCAGTAAACAGCTAAGTAACCATTTACCAGTACTCAAGAGCAAAGGTCATTCTTTTATCTGCTAAAACCCAAGGCCAAGTTATCACCATGCCATGGACAAATTTACCAGAAGACTTTTCATGAACTAATTTCCTGAGTTGTTGTTATGCAGGTAGGGACTCTGCCTTCAAAACTGATGGAATTCAGCAAGATATACTGTACCAGAACTTACTCATTCATAACCATGCTTTCTATTTGCCTCAATGTCCCATCAAACAACACAAGACTAGTTGCTAACAGCACAGGCAGAGAGAGATAGGAGATCATTATTTTCTATAAGTTCAGGTAGAAAACAGTCAAAAATAAGAGATTTAAGATTTTGTACAATATCCTTTTTCCATTGGAATGAATATGTCAAAGAAAAGCATTAATGAAAAGATTTAGATAAAGATATGATGAGAATTTATTGAAAATATCAAAATAAGATTGAGACATTTTTACATAAGATTGGTCTCCATAAGAGAAAGAAGAAAATAGAGGTTAACATAAACCCATTGGATGACATGCAAGAAGTTCAGGGGCAAAAGGCTGAGAGGAGAGCAGGTATCTGTCAAGTGTGGCTGGGCATTGTTGGCTCTTGAAGGCACATCTGATGGATTAGAGCAGAGGGTCTTCATCCCTGCTCCACTCTGCCTTCTGATGTCTCCAGGGTTCCCTGAGGAAGGCTGCCTCCACATTCACCCTCCTCAGGAGTGTCCTGCAGAGCCCGCTCAAGCACCAGCTTGAGGTTCCACCCCTGTGCCCGCTGCCTATAGGAGCCAACAAAGAAGTAAATAATGGGATTGGTAGAGCTGTTAACATTGGACAAAATGATTGAAACCAGATAAAGGCAAAAACGTACATGGTAATTATTGTCAATCCAGTAATACAGGAAAAAAAAGACACCAAAAGGCAGACCACAGAAGAGGAAAACCAATACTGTGAGCATAATGGTAACAAACAGCCTGTTAAGAGGCTTCTTCTGGGATCCACAGAGCATCCTACCCAGCAGGGACAGGCTAGACACTGAGAGAATCACAAATAAAAGAACTAGCCATGCAGCTATAGTAAATTCAACATTTTTACACTGATCTATTGCTTCATTGAAATGAAAAAAGCACACTATCTCCATGGTACTCAGAACTATGGACAGGCACCAGAGCAGGGCACACATGATAGCGGATGTGTGTCTTGGTCGATGGCAGTGGTACCAAATGGGCCACAGGACTGACAGGCAGCGCTCAGTGCTAATAGTGCTTAGCATGCTCAGGCCTGCAATGTAGAAAATGATTGCCCCAGTTCGTATGATGCCATATGTAGGGATGTGGATGGGAAGGATGATTCTGATGACTTCCAGCAGGACATCAGCGATATGGAAGCAGAGATAGAGGAAGTCAGCCACAGCCAGGTTTAGGATGTAGGTGTAAAAGGCATTTCTGCGCATGCGTAAACCCAAAAACCAGATGACAGATGCATTTCCAGTCAGCCCAACCAGGGAAATGGTGAAGATCAATGCTTTTGGAGGCAGACTATCAATGTCACAGATTGGAGGATGGTCCACATAACTTTCACTGGTTGGTGTGGCTTCTGTCATCCAGGCTGTGATGGTTGGTTCCAGGCTCCTAATCACTTCAGTGGTACTCCTGGGAACACAAAGGAGACTTGAGCACTTGCAGCAACAGCTCAGATTATTAGGGTCACCCTGCTCTGTGGAGATTACTATATCCATTTTAAAGAGAAGGAGAACAGAGGATAGCATAGGTGAAGTCACCTATCAACAGCAGGGGATTTATGAAATATGAAATTAAATCCAGTAGTTATTGTGTGAACAGCTGGAGTTCTCTGACCTGAACCTAAATGTCAAGGAAATATGCTATAGTCTGGACACTCCCACTCAGAATGGGAATAGTACTATAATGATCTTGGAAAATTTTCTCTCAGGTGCTGGAATTGATACAGACACAGAGGTGATTATAACATCCCCATCACAAACAGGGCTTCACTCAAGGAGGTAAAAGAAGACCTGGCTTTATAGCTACTAGGATAATGTGAGCTTTTGGTAAAACAGGACTGAGAATGACTGGGCATAAACCTAGCTCAGTGTGTCAGGCAGCACTGAAGATAGGTTCACTTTTTAATCCCCAGATCTCAGCTCTATGGGTGTCCCATAGGCCCTCAATATCTATTTAATGACTGAATACATGACAGTGCAGGATGATTGGGTTAAATGGAAAATAATAATGAAAATACAATGAAAGACCTTAACACACACGCACAAATAATGAAATTAAGAAAATGCTATCCATCATAATTCTCAATGTGAGCAGTATTGGGTGTAGTTAGAATTATTTCTATATGACCAAATTACTGATGTTGACTACTGGTGTGCCTTTAGAGTATAGATTCATGGTGGCTTTGGTGCACAGTGAGGGTGGGGAGTCATATTTGTATCTCATTTGAATTTCTCAACAATATAGAATAGGAGGGTATGAATTTGGGTGAGATGTGAGTGCCAATGAAAAGAGGTATTTCAAATAGGAGAATAATTATGCAGGACTATAGTAGTGTGTACAATATAAACTTACCCATTCCCTCCCATGAAATCCTCAGAAACATTATCTTCTTGATGAAAGCTTTTCTGTGAGAAGAGTATATGAAGTGAAGCTGAAAGAGGGCATGGCTTGAGGTGTAAAGAGAGATTTTACACTTGAAGTGTTAAAAACAAATGTGTTTTTCAAGCACATTTCACAAGTAAAGGGATCCAGTCATATCTTAATGATTAACAAGAGTTAATTTAGAGTACACCACATAATTTCTCTTTAAATCCTCTCAAAAGCTGATAAGATAAGAATTTCTATCTGTCCCAGTTTTATAAAGGATGGGATTGAAGCATTAGTGGGATGAATGATTAAACCTGGTATCACACAGTGTGGATTCCAGCACTTCGGGTTCTACAGCTTTTGAACCCACCACCACACTGGGTTAATTATAGGTGGATGAGAGAAAACCAGAGCAGTAAATCCCAAGTTAATCTCAGATGGCAGTCAAATTGCAACTAAAATGAAATCTAGCCTAAGCACAGTTCAGAAACAGAGAGGAAGTGAAGCCCATCAAACAGGGCACAAAAGGTAAATGAGTAGAAATCAGGAGCAGATATGAGAATTCGGAAGCCCTCTGCTGTCTCACAAGGGCAGCTATGACTTCAGAATCTAGAGGACACACAGGGGCAAGAGGTCTCCAAGGGGATAGAGGGCACATTATCCTCTGGGCCTGCAGAGAAGCATCCTGAAGTGTATGCATCCATAATGAGTTTTCTTGGATACACAATTTTCCTCAGTATTGGTTGATTTTCACATGAAACAGCAGGAAAATGGAAGTGCTGGTGTCCTGACTGAATGCAGTTTCCACATTTCTCTTTAGGGTACAGTGTTTTGGTCTTTGTCATCAACCCACTCAAGGCATGTCTTATTTGCTTTATGTACTACTCTACCCTAATATTTACCATGTGTTCTTTATAGATCATCTATTATAATATCCTTACCTAACAGAAAAAGAAAATGAGGCTCAAACAAAGTAATGTTGCAGAATCACATCTTTCAGAGGAGGTCCTATTCCAGCCCCTGGTCTGCTGGAGCCCTACCTGATGATTTGCCACTCTTGCGCCTCATATTGCCTTATTTTGTTTCCAGAGCTTCCAAAGAATCTTCATATGACCACAGAATCTGAGACACCATCAACACCTGTCACAACTTCTATAGTCCCACAATACAATTTTTCTCTTCTGTAACAGTGATTTTCTGGGTTGTAGGTCTTAATATTTCTTTTATCTTCCTGTCTTAATGCTGATATCACCACATGACTAGGCCATGACCAAAGGCAGTGAGGACAGGGATGTAATCAATTCCTGTTTTATAGGATTAATAGAAGGAGCACAGCCTGCATTTCCTTCTTTATTTTCTCACAGGCATCCATTCTGATATGGGTGTAAGTCCTTTAAGACCATAGGATGATGGGACCCCCCCAGGGGTGGACTGCAGCACTATCAAAGAATTTCTTGATTCTGATGCTCTGGAGCTTACAGCACAGGTCTAGCACATATCCTGTGAAGGTGAGTAGTGGTTCATTTTGAGCCACAATTTTACTCCAAACAAGAAAGAAGTTTTTCCCTTTTAAAATGACATTCAAATTTCAAGGCATTTAGATTAATATCAGTGATTTTCCATAAAATTGATTTAAGAGAAATAACATTTAAATAGAAAAAAAAAATATTTCAATGGAGATAAAATGGGAATGGATTCAATGATATTAGACTGAGAATTTTCCAGATTGTAGGAAGATGCAAGGAGTGGTGAGGGATAGTTTCATGTGTCCTGACAATTTTTATTCCATCCTTCGTCTTTGCCTTGATAGAGTTCCAAGCTAGTGGCTTCTTCAAACACCATCAATAGCATCCTTTTCCTTATTGTTTCTGGTTGAACTGACCTAATGGTGATACAATCAAGACAATAAAGAATGGGAGGAGAGGGATTTGAGTTTGAGATCTTCTAACTCTCTCCTGCTAGGCAGTGTGCTGGTAGTGGCACTGCTTCTCCACCTGCCTGGTCATCCTTTAGTAGTACAGCTACAGCTATGGCTATGCTCCATCCCTGGTAGCTGCTCCTTCCTTTGTCCCTTTTACTCTAGGTGTGGAAACAGTGCTTCATTTCTGCTTTCTTAGGGCACCTCACCATGCATTAGTATTATTCCCCTAATCCTTCACATCTTGGTAATTAGTCCTTCCTGGGATATTCCTCAATTATTACAATTGGAACCACCTATTTCTTGTTAGAATCTTAGAATTAAAAGGGGAAACTGTTTTTGAAGAATAAGTAAAAGCAATAAAACCCATTATATAGCAACTTATCTCAAGTAAGCAATATCTCCCTGTGGCTTAACTTTTTCAATAAATTTTAAGAAAAGGCAGAAATCTATCCATGAGAGTAGGTTTATATGGTAGGAAAAGGGATAATGAGAGATGAATCAGAATTGGAAAAGATCTCATTAACCTTATTTTAAACTCAAAGTAGGAGCTCAAGCACCCAGTCTTCAGAAGTATGATTCTGTCTCCTGCCTTTCCCTGAAGGAAGCACCCTGACCCTCTCCAGGTAGAACCCTACAGTGGAAACACAGGGATGTCAACCCAGAGCAACCCCATACATAACAGGAATTCTGACTCTTCTTACCTTTCTGCCATTCTCCTGTCCAGTGGTGGAAAGCTGAGCTGTGTTGACAAGAGACAGTCTTTCTCAGATAAAGTAACACCAAGGTATAATTCTTTGTTCTCCAAGTGGAGAGATGCTTATGGAAGCTGTATATAAAGCTAGGAACCAATTGCAGCTTTTAAGATTCAGCATGACCGCTGGGATTTCCTGTTCTGTGATTGCGAGCAAATTGGAGAACATAGTCATCTGAAGCTTCATTTTAATGTGGATATATCTGAGCATCTGTACCATTTCCACTCACATATTGGCCTCTCCCTTACATCCCTTTCAGTCCACCTACTGTAATTAGTTGCTCTTCTGTGTGCCTTGCCAAATAGGATCTTAGGTAAGAATATAAGCAATGTGAGCTTTCATACTAAGTTTTATTACTAAATTAAAAAGTATATCATTGGGTCATTAAAAACTCCTCATGCCTTGGTCCCATATTTTTATTTCTTTATATCATCAGAATTGCATTTATTTCAATATGTTTGTTCCAAACATCAGAGCAAAAGGATGGGCATCCTATTCTCTACTTACTACCTCTACCCTTTCTTATTTTTCTCATTATTAGATCTGATTAGGAAATATATTTCTATTTTGATTTTGTCACTATAAAGTAGTTAACTGACATCTCTTACAAAATGTGAGTGTTCAGTAGATAAAATATTCCCCCACATGCTATTCATGAAATTTGTTATTTTAAAATTTTCATGTAGTGTAGACATTCCAAATTTGATGTATGATCTCACATGACTTCCCTTATTTTTTTCATGTAACTCATAATAGGTTACATATCATTTGTTAAAACTGTAATTTGAATTGGAAGCTGAGATGGACATACATCTTGGGTCCCATTGGATATGTGTTTTAGATATGGTTTAATTTTGTTCCCTCAGGCATTCATTTGATTGGTGCTTGGTCTCAAGAGTGGCATTATGGGTAGGTTTTGTGGAATATTTGAGAGGTGGAACCTAGTAATAGTCCTTAGATCACGTAGTTCTCCTACAACCCCTAGATGTCATGTGATGGAGTTCTTATAAGGAGCAATCCTGGCCCCATCCAACTCTCTGCTTCCTGGCTGGAGACATGGCTCTTATTCCATGTGCACTCCCATCACCCACCATGGGGCCTGACCAAGAGCCTTGACTATGACATTTTGACTTCAATGAAAACTGTAAGGTAATTTAATCTCTATATTATGAGTAGCTTTTGTCAGAAATTTTTATATAGTAAGTAAAACTACATAATAAAGAACTCTGTTTAAAAATTCAGAAATTTTCTTCTGTGAGTTTATTCAACAAATATTTCATAATAAGCTTATTTGTTTGTTGATATGTCTTTGAAAAATTTA